CTGCAGCCTCAACCTGCTGGGCTCTGGCAATTCTTCTGCCTCAGCCTTCCAAGTAGCTGGAACTACAGGGGCATGCTATCACGCCCGGCTAATTTTTGATTTATTGTAGAGATAAGGCCTCACCAAGTTGCCCAGGCGGGTCTCGAATCCGAGGGCTCAGACAATCCACTCACCTCGGTCTCCCAAAGTGCAGGAATTACAGGCTGAGCCACTGAGCCCAGCCAGATCAGCTCTCTTTATTGACGGGGAAAGTGACTTTTCCAAGACTCCAGTAGTTTAAAGGTGACCAGAGGGATAGCCCCTACTTATCCTAATGACCTGCCTTTCCATATCCCCCCCCCCCCCCCCCCGGGCAGAGTTTACAGCCTTGGGGTGGGAAACAGGGAGGAGTTAGAAATGGGCCAGGTGGTAAGGTCATCCGTGCTAAAGAGGTAGACAAGTGGTGCCCAGGCAAGTCTGTTTAAGCAGGGAGTGACAAAGGCAGAATTTTTAGATGTATTAGAGAGAAGAGAAAAAGGAAGAACTAGAAACAGTGCGTATCTACAACCACATGGTCAGCCCACGCTGTCAGCCCTCAAATGTTTGTGGGGTAGAGAATACGTAAAAGACAGAATAGCAAAAGAAAGATTTTTAAATTGAGGTTAACATCACATAACATAAAATTAACCATTTTCAAGTGTACAATTCAATGGCATTGAGTACGTCCACAATGTTGTACAGTCACCACCTCTATCTAATTTCAAAACATTCACGAAATCCCAAAAGCAAACATCCTACCCATGAAGCAGTCAGGCCCCTTCTCGCAGCCCTTAGAAACACTAACCTGTTTTCTGTCGGAATGAAATGACCTATTCTGTTTATTTCCCACCAGCAGAATCATGCAATAGCTCTGGCTTCTTTTACTTTGCATATTTTCAAGGTCCATCCATGTTATATCACGTATCAGTAAGAAAGACATGTTTGAAGACCGCAAAGACAGAAGAGCAGAACCTACAGCCCTTGGCAAGCAACTGAAGAAGGGAGCTAGGAGTTCCCGGATAATTTCCATCATCAGCTTTGGGGAGTAAAGGAAAAGAGGTACCACAACACAAATAGGAGAGACAGAAAACCTGCAGGTTGGGGTGAGGGTTGGTGAGGGTTGATGAGTTTGCTCTGGACACAGTCTGCATTCGTCCTGGAGATGACCACCAACAGCTGGAAACAGTCTGGAGCTTAAGACAGAAGGGAGGGCCGGGCGCAGTGGTTTAAACCTGTAATCCCAGCACTTTGGGAGGCCGAGGTGAAGGGACTACCTGAGCCCACGGGTTTGAGAACAGCCTGAACAACTTGGCAAGACCTCATTTCTACAATAAATTAAAAAAAAAAAAAAATTAGCCAGGCATGGTAGCGTGCGCCTGCAGTTCTGGCTACTTGAAAGGCTGAGGCAGAAGGATCTCTTGAACCCAGCAGATCAAAGCTGCAGTGGCCATGAGTGTGCTGCTGCACTTCAGCCTAGGTGACAGAGTGAGAGTCCAACTCAAAAAAGAGAGAGAGAGAGAGAGAGAGAAGGCAGCATGGCTCAAGAGAGGAAGAGGCATGGAGATGCCCTGTTTCGTTGTCCCGAGGCCAGGGAGTATGTTGAAGGAGTATTACACATATATCTGGAACGACTTCTATTACTCAGACACACATGATACAAGAAATGTCCTTGACCATTTCAGGATGCCACACATCCATTTACAAAACCTTAGAGGTGAACATCAAAACCCAACAGCAAAACGCATCATATATCTGGTCTGGCTTTTGTAAGAAGAGCCAATTCACAGAGACAATAGCTGGCATTTTCCAATAAGTAGCTCCTCTACCACTTTTGACCCCTGTATCATGCACGAGGTTCCATCACGCTCTGCTTCCCATGTAATCCCCCAGCACCTAACCCTCCTGAGTCGCAATTCGCTTAAAAGTTTGGTATACACATGCGGTCCCATCAGCCTGACTGCAACTCTGGAAGTAAAATACTTCACCCCAACTGAGCAACCCCTCTGAGTAACTCTAACTCATAAAGGGGAGGGGCTGATCCCTCCACCTTCTCTCCTCACACCCACCCTAGGCCATCTTCAGGCTCTCTGAAGATCCTCACCGCCCCCTGGCCTTGCTTTTCAATGTCAAAAGCAACAGTAATCATTTCTTTCATCCAAAGAGATGCCAAGTCCTACACAAATCTCTTTAAATGTCTGCAAAAGCACCTTTCTTTGCTTAAAATATACACTTATATATGCATATACATTTTATATACACACGTGTGTATTATGTATTTTGTATGTATGCATGCATATGCACTATAAAATGGTAGAAGATACAATTCTACAGTCAACTCTTGAACAACACCAAGGTTGAACCACTCAGGTTCACCTGCATGTGGACTTCCTTCCACCTCTGCCACCCCTGAAGCAGCAAGACCAACTCCTCCTCCTCCTCCGTCTACTCAAAGTGCAGGTGATAAAGACCTTTACGATGATCCACTTCCACTTAATGAACAATAAATATATCTTCTAAGATTTTCTTAATAACATTCTTTCATCTAGCTTACTTTATTATAACAGTAGTGCATATAATACATATAACATAAAAAACGTATTAATTGACTGTTTACATTATCAGCAAACAGGGATTGCTCAATTATGTTATCCATCAGGCTTCCAGTCAACAGCAGTCAACTATTGTCCCTGACAATAGTTAGCAGATCTAACCAGTAGGCTATTAGGAGGTTTTTTGTTGTTGCTGTTGCTGTTGCTGTTTTTAGTCAGAATCTCACTGTCACCCAGGCTGGAGTGCAGTGGCCACCGCAGCCTCGACCTGCTGGGCTCAAGCAGTCCTTCTACCTCAGCCTTCCAAGTAGCTGGAACTACATGTACACGCCACCAAGCCCGGCTAATTTTTTTATTTATTGTAGAGACAAGGTCACGCCAAGTTGCCCAGGCTAGTTCGAACCTCTGGACGCAGGCAATTCTCTCATCTCCGCCTCCCAAAGTGCTGGGATTACAGGTATGAGCCACTGCACCTGGCAGAAGTTACAGTTTTTAGGAAGTCAAGTTACATGCATATTTACTTTTTCTTTCTCTCTCTCTTTTTTTTTTTTTAGATAGGATCTTGCTAAATTGCACAGGCTGGTGAACTCCTGGGTGAAAGCAATCCTCCTGCTTCAGTCTCCCAAATAGCTAGGACAGCAGGCCTTTGTCACTGTACCCAGCTATATGCAGATTTTTTACTGCACTGGGGGTCAGCACCCCTAATCCCTGTGTTGCTCAAGATTCAAATGTAAATGGTTTTCTATACCCACAAGGTCAGGTTCAAAGGAAATCATTACTGCCAACCTTTGAGCAAAGGTAGTCCAGAGGAAAAGGGGGGGGAGTCATATACCAGCAATTGTAATCTCAGAGGCAAAAGATCCTCAATTAAAGGACAAATTCCTCAAGTCCTAGGGGCAAATGCAAGTGTAAATTAAGAGGCCAGGCCACCCATGGTGAAATCCAGTCCTCAGAATGTAACCTCTTGGGAGACACCGTACAAGCAAGCGCCGATCACCACAGCTCTATGCTGTCCCCCACTTCATTCATTCCCTCACCAGCCATGTGCTGGCACCATTACAGGCACAGAGGCCCACAATAAACCAGACGACAAAATCCTTTCCCTGACCCTCGGAACTCACATTCCAGAGGGTCATCAGTGAAGGAGAAGATGGGTGAACGACAAAGAAAACACACAGCATTGTCAGGTAAGTGGTCACAATATACAAATAACTTCCATAATATGTCAGAGGAGAAGGTGAACAGGGCTGGCCAGGGTGAAGAGGGGGACAACTTTCATCGAGTGTCATGGGGTGGGGAATGCTGAATAAACCTCAGCAAAGACCTGAAAGGGATAAAGGGGTGAGCTGCAGGCAGTGTGAGCACCTGGAGAAAGAACCTTCTGGCCACTCTGGCCAAGGGCAAGCGTAGAAAGAGCAGGGAGGATGAGGTGGCTGTGGGCTGAGGGAGGGGGCTGAGGGAGGGGGGCAACGAGAGGAACTTTGTTGTCATCTGTTTGCTTTGCTATCCATGTACCAGACTGAACAGTAGGCACCTTGAGAGCAAGGCCTGTACTGCATGAGCCTAACTTCATCCTCAGGGCCTGAAATGACATGGTGGCAGTTGGGCAGTCGGATGGATGGGGTGAATCAAGAGACTTCTCCAAAGAAAAAAGGAGCTGCTAGCAGGTACAGGTAACATGCCAGCTTTAACCATCATCTTAAAGCCTTTGAAATGGTTTTTAATTTCTTCGATATTGATGATATTTTCAAAGAAGATATCAGTTTTAATCTTATAATGGAAAGCAATAGCAAAACAGTATTTGCATTGCTGTATGCAAATGAAATATATATATATATAATATATGTATTCATTTTCTAGACCACTTTGCCCGAACAATTCCTAAATTTAAAAAGTCTGTATTTAGATAATACTGGCTACAAAATACATATAGGTAGCACACATTCATTATCTATTTACACAGCTTTAATAGACAATCATAACATACTTTCCAGCTCATTGGAGAAGACTCTTGAGGAAAAAGCTACCGCTTAATTCTGTATTCTAATAATAATAGGTCCCATTTGGACATATTGAAGGAATTAATGATCAGCTCATCTGAGTGGAAATTATAAAAAATAGCGATAGATCAGGGCTCAACAAGACTTTTCTGTAAAGGGCCAAATAGTAAATATGTTAGGCTTTACAACTAATGCACAGTATTCATTCCATAGTTTTCTTTGCTATTGCGGGGGACTATTTTGATGGGGTTTTTTGTTTGTTTGTTCACAATGGCAGGGAAAAAAAAATGTAAAAAACATTCTTAGCTCTCAAGCCAAACACAAGGGACATGGTTTGCCAATCCCAGTTTTAGACCACAAAGAAGGGGACATTTGGAGTTCCAAGTTCCTCCCCACTAAACCCAAGGGGGACATGCCTGTATTTCTGGGTTACCTCCTTCAGTCTCTCCAGCTCATTCTGGAGGGTCTGTTTGGATATTTCCACTTCGATCATCTGCTGTCGGAGAGTTTCGTTTTCATCTTCAGCTTTAGCGCGCTTTTCCTCCACCGTCTCAAGTTCATGGTGCAATCTGACAGATACATCTTTGGCTACCTGCATCGACCCACAGAGATGACTGTCAGGATATGAGGCCTTTTGTGTACAGACAACGTTCAGACATTGTCAGAGGCCAGATCATTATGTAATATGATATTATGCCAAATAGCAAAGACCCTGGCAATATTTAGCAGATTTTCTTTTTTTGAGTCAGAGTCTCACTCTGTCGCCCAGGCTGGAGTGCTGTGGCACACACTCACGGCGACCCCAGCATCAACCTGCTGGGCTTCCGTGATCCTTCCGCCTCAACCTTCCAAGGAGCTGGAACTACAGGTGCGCTACCATGCCTGGCTCATTTTTTATTTATTGTAGAGACAAGGCCTCGCCAAGTTGCCCAGGCTAGTCTCAAACTCACGGGCTCAGGCAATCCACTCACTTCGGCCTCCCAAAGTGCTGGGAATACAGGCTGAGCCACCAAGCCTGGCCAGCAGATTTATTTTTAAAGGAGGGTATTAGTAAAATGAAATGAAATTAATAAAAGGAACAATATGGCCGGGCTCAGTGGCTCAGCCTGTGATCCCGCGCTTTGGGAGACCGAGGTGAGTGGATTGCCTGAGCCCACGGGTTCGAGACCCGCCTGGGCAACTTGGCAAGACCTCATCTACAATAAATCAAAAAAATTAGCTGGGCATGGTAGCGCGCGCCTGTAGTTCCAGCTACTTGGAAGGCTGAGGCGGAAGGATCGCCGAGCCCAGCAGGTCGAGGCTGTGGTGGCTGGGAGTGGCCACTGCACTCCAGTCTGTGTGACAGAGTGAGACTTCAACTCAAAAAAAAGGAACAATATGAGGGAGAAGATAGTTTAACTTGATTTGAAAAGCCCCTTTGGGTACCCCTAACTCCTTCCTAGAATACCATCAAGAATGCCAGTCATCCACAGACACGCTCATTTAAGTAAGAAATTAAAAACACTGATAATAAACATTTCTGTTCCCTACAGTAATACTGAACCTGCCTCCCAAAAAAATAAAATAATTCTGTATGCAGTAGTTGTAATCCAGTTTTAAATTGTCTACTGTGGCTCTGGTGTGGTAAAATGTCTAAATGTTCAAAGCAGTTAAACATTTTTACTTCCAAAAAGCAAATGAGGAAAGAGACTCTGTAAGAGAAATATAAATCACCCTTTATCACAATGAATGACATTCTGTTAGTTGTTTACAGCTGGTAGAATTACAAAGATTCGTTTCCTGTTGTCATACTGAAAGGCTAGATGAGATTTCCCAAGTACTCCTGTAATAAGGAGGACGTTATGCATAATTTATCTAGATAAATGATTTGATAAGCAGGTCATGAGAGAAGCTTTGCTGCTCACAGAAACAGCAAATGGTATAAAGTCTGGGATTTCTTCACCTCATCTCACTTCTATCACTGATTCTCAAAGATACTTTAGACAATTAGTTATGATCCTTTTTCTTCAGTCAAATTATCACTACACAAATCTCACTTGGGAATTTTGTGTTTTCTACATCCTAGAAACCTAAATAACAACAGAAACATTTGGCGATATGGTTAACTTTTTAAAAGTAGTCCTTTTCTAAACTGATAATCAATAGATTTGTTTGCAAAAAGATTTCAGGCTGGGCACAGTGGCTCATGCCTATAATCTCAGCACTTTGGGAGGCCAAGGCAGGAGGACTGCTTGAGCCCAGGAGTTTGAGACCCCAGCTCTACAAAAATAAAAATAAAAATTAGCTAGGTGTGGTGGCACAGGCCCATAGTCCCAGCTACTCGGGAGGCTGAGGCAGGAGGACAGGTTGAGTCCAAGAACTGGAGACTGTGGTAAGCCATGATCGTGCCATTGCACTGCAGCTTCAGCGACAGAGTAAGATCCCAACTCAAAAAAAATTTTTTTTCAGATCTTTCAAAGTTTCTGTACAATTTGTATTCAACGGTCAGACTGGCAGGCGTTAATTCTTTAATACTGTAGATGCAGTACTATGATGTATTTAAGTTCGTAATATGACAGATTTAAATCATAGGTTGTCAAAGTCATACAACTACATATATTCTATAAGCCATAAAGTAAATCAAGACTGTTTATGCTGAATCTATTGAGACTGAAATAAGCAGGAAAAGAACACAAGACACCTGCGGGGTCTCGAGTTAGACTCAGTTGGCAACCGGGTTCAAACAGTCTTCTGGGTATGCCTGTACCCCCGAGCACTCACGCTCACCTTCAAGTCCTGTTCCAGGCTCCGGATCAGCTCACCGTCCACCTGACCCGTCTCAGCCACTTTCAGGCTTTTCTGCTCAGCTTTCCGGAGACGGTACTGCAGGATTCGGCAGTTTTTATTAGCGCGGTCCAGCTCCCGCCGAAGTTCCTGCAGCTGGTAAACATCTTCCTCTAAGTAACTGTCTCTCATCTCTTCCATCTCAGCACGGAGTTCATCTAACTCATCCTATGCAAACCAGACAGAGCAGACTTATGAGCCACGGACATCAAAGCAAGATGGTGTCTCTCCTCCAGCCCCACTCCTCAATACTGAATGTTAATTACCTGGCAGGTAATTAACGTTATCCATCAGCTCAGGGCCACACCTGTGTAACATGGCAAAGGGGCCTTGAAACATTCTCACATGGATGCCTGTTCAAATCTTATGGATCCACAAACTAAAAACCAACCTGGATTATTTGTGCAGACCTCAGAACGTATCGCACTCACACCAGTTCCTTACATAATCATAAATAAAATCAACTCTGCAGATAATTAAGCCTTTAGATTCAAACATTGACCTAAACCTGTACCTCCAAGGCACAACCTAGGCATTAAGATGAATCAGACAGGCTAGGCTCCGTGGCTCTACCTGTAATCCCAGCACTTTGGAAGGCCTAGGCATGTGAATTGCCTGAGTCCGCGGGTTCGAGACCAGCCTGAGCAACTTGACCTCATCTCTACAATAAATCAAAAATTAGCTGGGAGTGTCAGCACATGCCTATAGTTCCAGCTCCTTGAAAGGCTGAGGTGGAAGGATCACTGGAGCCCAACAGGTCAATCCTGGGGTGGCCCTGAGTGTGCCACTATACTCCAGCCTGGGCGACAGAGTGAGACTCCAATAAAAAAAAAAAAATGTATCAGACAATCCCTGCCTTTGAAAGAACAGAAACTTCAGTGGGATAATCACTATTAATGGCCCTGGAATTAGAACATGTCTGCAAATGTCCAGGAAATCCTGTTCCACAACACAAATCTCAGCATTGACTAAACAACTACCTAGAAATAAAGCACTTTCCATTTGTTCAAATATACATTGGGTCTGTTTCCCTCATTTCCTTGTCCTTTATTTCTCACACCTCCATTCTTTGCTGTCCCCTTGAAACTCTGAATTCAGAAGACCCAAAGAGTCACCCCTGGTCCTTCTCCTCCCCGTCCCTCCCACAGCCAATCCATCAGCAGTGCTCAGCTCGGTGGCCCACTTTCTCCAGGCCTGGCACTGGCACTCTGATCCAAGCCTCCATCCCAGGGAGGAACGGAGCTGCAAGCAGATGTCAGTACAGACAGAAGGGCGCCTGCAGACTCCCAGCTCCATAATCCTCCTAAGGTCCATTCCCTGCCCAGCAGAATGATCCTTTTACAATGTAGATCACAGCTACTCAAACCCTCCAGGGACTACCTTTCTTTCAGTCCCCCAGGGCCTCCAGGCCACACCCCCTGCAGCCTACTGCTGGTCTCACGCTGAGACAGGCTCATTCGGGCTTCCTGGCCTCACCTGCTATTCCCCCTCCGGAAAATGCATCCCCTCCCCCACAGGTCTTTGCAGAGTTCATTCCATGACCAAGATTTGGAAGCCACCAAGGCCTTCCCCACTCCCCCTCCGTCAGCAACCCAGTCTCTAGTCTCTTGCTCGCTCTACTGTTCCATCTCTGATCACCATCTCAAGTTATCTGTGTCTTTTCCTATTTATTGTCTGTAACCTACACTAAAAACAGCTTCAGAAGGGAGAAGGTTTGTCTGCAAGGCATACATTAAGTATTATCAAAGATTTTTTTTTTTTTTTTTTGAGTTGGAGTCTCACTCTGTCACCCAGACTGGAGTGGAGTGGCACACTCCGGGCCACCACAGCCTCGACCTGCTGGGCTCTGGCGATTCTTCCGCTTCAGCCTTCCAAGTAGCCGGAACTACAGGCACGCATTACCACGTCCAGCTAATTTCTGATTTATTGTAGAGACGAGGTCTCACCAAGTTGGCCGGGTGGGTCCCGAACCCGCGGGCTCAGGCAATCCACTGGTCTCGGCCTCCCAAAGTGCTGGAATTGATTACAGGCTGAGCCACCGAGCCCAACCATAAAAGATTTTTAAAAAGGAATATTTGGGAAGAGGGAGATTTTTTTAAAATCCTAGGGATTTCTCTGATTCGTTTGATAATTGAGTTTCAATGCCTCCAACATAGAATGCACTCAGTCGTTCCCATTTTTTTATTCAGTTAATATTGAGGCTCAAGAAAAGAACTCTCCCAAACTTGGACACCCTAAATTGTCAGTTCTTGATATTCAGTTTGATATACAATCTTGCTATTCAGTTTGTTCCTGGATTCTCACCACTCTCACTAATCCGGCCTTTGTTCTTAAAACCAGGGATTTACTAACAACAGAGGACAAGAGTGTCTCAACATCAGAGTCTCAGGTAGACAAAAAAATTGAACAGAAGTAAATCTAAAGATGAATTTATCCTAGATAAGATTATGAGTGAGAAGTACAACAAATAAATTGGGAATCCTTGTGGGAAAACATGGGTTGGCATAAAATGGGGTGAAGACAATTCTCCAGTCAACACCAACTGTATACAGTGGTCTATAGGAAGAGCACATTTCCCCACCCAGCTCAGGTTCCCTCTGCATACTCTCCTAATCAAGAGAATGAGCTACTCAACTGGCCATGACTCAAGTGAGCCTAATTCAATGGACTACCAAGGAGAACAGATTTAAAGAAAGCTTCACCAACTTCCAGTCGTCAAATGAAGAAAATGCTTTTCTTCTCAGCTTCTAAGTGTTCTTACAGAATTTCTATACCAACGGTGAAAATGACATTTAAAATACAAGATGTTCTAGGCAGGGCTCAGTGGCTCATGCCCGTAATCCCAGCACTTTGAAGGCTGAGGCAGAAGGATCGCTAGAGGCCAGGAGTCCAAGACTAGCCTGGGCAACAGAGCAAGACCCTAAATTTCTAAAAAAATAAAAAGTATTAGCCAGGCATGGTGGTACATACCTGTAGTCCTAGCTACTTGGGAAGGCTGAGGCAAGAGGATCGCTTGAGCCCAGGAGTTACAGTAAGCTATGACTGTACCACAGTACTCCAGCCTGAATGACAGAGCAAGACCCTCTCTAAAAATTGTGTGTGTGTGTGTGTGTGTGTGTGTGTGTGTGTGTATGGATGGATGTATGTGTATGGTGGACAGAGGTGGAACATCTACTCTGTTCATGTATATGTACATACACACACACATATGATGCTCTAATGTGTCTATAAAGAAAAATTAGTCTAAAGTTTGAAAGTGTTGTGATGTATAACCAAGTTCCATTTCTTTTTTCCTTCATGGAGATTGATCCCTTTACATTTTGTTCCTGGCAGAAAACTTTGCTGGGATGGGAAGTTCTTGGATCGAGCATAAAAGTTGGTCAGTTGAACACACATGAACAGAGCAGGCAGTTTAGGCTCTTCAGAGAACAGAGCTCTCTTAGGGAGGTGCTTGCCGACCTTCAGCAAAGAGGAGGTTGTCCCCGATGCCTGATCCCAACACCAAGGTTTTGCTGACACTCCATAGGTGCTGTGCCCCTGGCTGATGCCATGTGGAGGAGGTCAAGTGCAGACTGGAAGCTTTAAAGTGGGCCTTGTAGTTGTTATTCTTTTGAGAGAAAGTAGAAAGTTAGTCCTGAATCTTCAAAAGTCAAGATCAAGTTTCCCTAACATTCCATCCATGAATCTAATGGATCAGACTTTGAGAAAGAGCCTAATCTCAACACTTGTTCCTGATTACAGTTACAAGGTAATTGTTTCATTGGGTTATTAATAAGAAATAGTCCAATACAAGCAAGAATTACAAAATGCATAACACTCAATCAATACAAGCACATGTGTACCTGGCCATTCTGTTCATGAAAAGAATTATTTGCAGCCAGGCTCTGTGGCTCAGTCTGTAATCCCGTGCCTTGGGAGGCCAAGGTGAGTGGACTGCCTGAGCCCACGGGTTCAAGACCTGCCTGGGCAACTTGGCAAGACCTCATCTCTACAATAAACCAAAAAATTAGCTGGGCATGGTAACGTGCACCTGTAGTTCCAGTTACTTGGAAGGCTGAGATAGAAGGATCGCCAGAACCCAGCAGGTCGAGGCTGTGGTGGCTGGGAGCGGCCACTGCACTCCAGTCTGGGTGACAGAGTGAACTTCCAACTCAAAAAAAAAAAGAAAGTGTTTGTCATCTTTTAGGCTGGGCTCGGAGGCTCAGTGTGTAATCCCAGCACTTTGGGAGGCCGAGGTGAGTGAATTGCCTGAGCCTAAAGGTTTGAGACCCCCCTGGGCAACTTGGTGAGACCTCATCTCTACAATAAATCAAAAAAAATTAGCGAAAGGATCACTGGAGCCCAGCAGGTAGAGGCTGCAGTGGCCGGGAGCGGCAACTGCACTCCAGCCTGGGTGACAGAGTGAGACTCCAACTCAAAAAAAAAAAAAAAAAATTATTTGTGATTGCTTTTCCTTCCAAAAAGCTTGCCTACAAAAGCCAAAGTCATTAATGCCTGGAATCATCTGTAATTCAGACAAAAGCTTTTAAAATGCGATAAAGCCATAAGTAGAGGTACAATACAGCTTCCAGGAATAAAAATATCTCCAATTTTCAGACTGCAACAGGAAGACCCTCATCCACACTAATATTAAATGCTGCATCATTATACAGACATGTAAACAACCATTACAGGCTGCAAAAATTGTTTAAGGGCTGAATGAACCCACACCTCCACATCATCGAGCAGGCCAGATGTAAACAGCCAATTCTTTAGGCATAAATAATCACCAATATTAGTTGCACCGAAAAGAAAATTATGGAGATCATAATTGCATGTATTTAAATCATTGCTTTTATAACTCATATTTTATCTAAATTTATAGAACTGAAGACATCATTTACTAAGTACTTTACCCTCCTTATTGCCTTACATTAACACTGTCAGGAACATATTACCCCCATTTTATGTACCAAGAAACCAAGACACTAGTTATACACATCTAAAGCCTCACATCCAGTAAACTGAAGCCAGGCTACAAACTCTAGCTGTCTGTTTCCAAGTACACACTTCCAGTAAATACCTGGACAAATGAAACAATAACAGACTTTCAACTGTACTTTTAAAAGCCCATTACCACTGCAAACCAATAAAAGCAGCCTAACATTTAGAGCTGGACAATTGTCAAT